AAGTACCCTTCCTTGTACAACTTGTTAATTATTTTCTCTCCAATATGACCAAGCCTACAATGCCAAAGGTATGTATGATTTACTTGATCATCTCTTTTCCTCTTAAGACTAGAAAAATGCATAATCGACTTAGCATTCACATTAGGCAAGACATAAACATCATGTGGGAGATAGCCATTCACATATAAATCATCACCATAATAAATAAAGCAAACACCATTGCCTATGTTAATGCGAAAACCAAGTTTGTCTAACATAGAAGCTGAAATTATGTTCGAAATAAAGTTAGGAACGTAATAACTATCATCCAACATAAGTACTTTGCCCGTAGGCATTGTTAAAGAAATTGATCCTACAGCTACGGCCGCAACTTTTGCACCATTTCCAACTTGTAGATTAACTTCTCCTTTCTTTAACCTTCTACTTATCTGGAACCCCAGCAACATATTGCAGATGTTATAACCACTGCCAGTATCTAATACCTACAATGAAGAATCAGTAGTTGTTAAAGAAACCTTGAAATCATTTTTCATTAAAGTCTTACCTTGTTTCTTGTCCTTTAGAGTTGCAAGATACTCCTTGCAGTTTCTTTTTCAATGTCTTATCTTCTTACAATGGAAACATTCAGTATCAGATTGGTCAACTTTGCCTTCTTTGCCTTTGGGTTTGGTCACACCACCCTTAGGTGCAGTAGGCTTTTTCTTGGGTTTACTTTTACCCTTACCCTTCTTCTTAGAAGAGTTTCCAACCAACATGATAGTTCCTTTCTTCTTCTCAGATGCAAGTTGATTCTCATAATCAATCAACATGTTAAGCATCTCATGAAGATCACAATCCATTTTATGCATATTGAAATTAATAACAAATTGTGAAAAGGATTCAAGATCAAATCTTGAGACAGCTCTTTACCCAGTTTGCACCCCAACTTATCAAGTTCTTCAATAAGATCAATCATATGATTGACATGGGGTCCAACTGGAGAGTTTCCAGTCAATTTGGATCCAAATAAAGCCTTAGATAGCTAGTATCTAGATGTCCTGCTTTGTGTACCAAACATCTTCTTAAGATGTTCATTGATTGCAGTTGGATCCATATCCTGATGTTTCCTCTGCAGTTCAGAACTCATAGAAGCGAGAATGATGCATTTGGTAGTAAGACATTCTTCCAAGTATTTCTGTTAAATCTTGGTAGCATCATCATCATCCTCATCTGGGACTTCCTTGACAGGCTTATCGATCACAACAATAAGCTTTTCATGCATGAGAATAATTCTCAAATTTCTGTACCAATCATCAAAGTTTGGTCCTACCAACTTGTTGGTCTCAAGTATTCCACGCAGTGATATAGCAGGCATATTGAGAAATCTAAAATTAGAAAAGAGAAGACAATAATATATGAACAAATTTACACATATCATAAAGACATGGACTTTTATCTAAGTGATATTTCCACTAATTATTTTAAACTATTTTCCCTCATTATAGTTACAAAATCTTTATTTCTGTTAGTGGAGTAAAGGAATCCTTTAAAAATATGTATGAGCCCCTTGGAAGTCAAGTCGTTTCTCACATATATTTTAAAGGTAGGTACTCTTACCAATTGTATCCCCATACAATTTTCTTAAATAGCTCTATGTCAAATAGTCCCCTGGTAGTCGGGTCGATCCTATTGGCATAGTTGAGTTCAACCATCATGATAGCAAAGAACTTATTAAATTTATACTCCCCGGATAGTCCAGGCGTCTAGTATAAAATTGGATAATTCTTTCAATCCACACATCTAATGCAATAAATAATTTTAACATATTCTCGAACTATAAGTCTCCTGGTAGTCAGGATGCTCCTTATAAACAGGAAATAAGTAAAATTTACTTTGATGGATAGCTCTATAATAAAATATCTTATATTTTATTATTTAAGAACTCAAATTTTAGTAAGAGGGAGTTGTTACTAAAATAACTTTTAATAACATAAAGATCAAATCTTTTATAGCATGCGAATTTGGTTCAAGTTGTCTACATGCTTTGTCCTAAATTAATTTACACCACGTGTTATAAATAATTCAAAATTATGTAATGAACAAGCACGTGACATAAAAACGAAATTCAACATCTTCTAACATGTTTATCTTATATATCACATAAAAATAATTCATGCCAGAAAACTATTATTAATTAACATCTCATGAACTAATACCATTTAAAATAACAGTAGAATCCAATAGCCTATTATAGATTACAGTCGTATCTAATACAAAAATTTCAAATTCAAGTTACGAACTATCTCAATAGTTTAACTTATATGTATGTATGTATATATATATATATATATATATATATATATATATATATATATTTTATTCACAATAAAGTTATATCAATCCATATGCATTCAAACAATTTGACTATTGCACAAGACACTTGTATTATGGTTTGAACTCTTCAAATATAATCTTAAAATATTTCGTAAATAAATTTTAGCCACAATAAACCACGGCTCTGATACCACTGAAGGATTGCATATAGGTGTTCAACGGAAGACAATAACAATCCTAGACAGATCTTTTCGTGTTTAAAATTTATTTACATGTCAAAGATCGGATCTGAGACGTACCTGGTGAAGAGAGTCTCGTTTAAAAAATTCTTCAATAGTGCGAAGACTCTATGCGTATCCACACCGAGACCGATCCTTGCTATCAACTCTTTGATCAATGAAACCCGCGAACAAATTGAACGAAGAATATTGGGTTGAAATTTTTTTCAAAAATCTCAACTCAAATTAGAAGAACAAGAAACACCTTTCTTATGATTGAATTTTCTCTCTTGGCGTTGTATTGCACTCTCACTTTCACAAAGTATTTTTCTTCTCAAGAATTAATAATGCGGCAAATTTTCTCCATCACCTTTATATAGCTTCACCTATAAACCCTTTTCCTTTTTGGTTGAGGTAATAATTTACTTAGGTTAATATATATATATATATATATATATATATATATATATATATATATATATATATATATATATATATATATTAACCAATAGATACATTTTAATTTTCTATTCCAAATAGAAAACTTTAATTTGTTCACAATATTAATTATATCCTTTGTGCTAGCAAATAATATAATAATATTTTATTTGGACTAATAACTAAATTTGTTTGACTAATTAAATCCTTTAATTTAATTACCAAACAATAAAAAAATTAATCCTTTAGCAAAGATCAGAACTGTCATTAGTGTGCGACCCCATAGGTTCAATACTAAGCCGGTAGTAAATTGATCATATCAATATACTAATCAAGGGTGGCGCCTAGCAACATTCCTTAACGACCGGATAGAATGAAGTATACAATTTACTCTTAAGAACCAGTAGAAGAATAATGTAGTAATTCCTTCTGTCCTTATAGCTCTGGGTCACCGGATATGGTTCAACTGTCAAATCCTAATAGGCGACCAACTATGTGTGCATGTCAAATATAATCGACCATTGAATGACCTAAGAAACTCTTTTCTTCTTTTCATTCAATTGCCCTGGCCAAGGTCTTAATTTGGTCGTTTATAATTCATGACAACATGGAGCTTAAACTCATTACCAAGAGTTGACAGATTCCATCTTGATCAATCACTAATTCTACAAGCATTTGGTCATACCCAATATCCTTTCAACTATCGCACTAGGGCAATAGGTGTCTGGTCTCAAAGCACAGGAAATAACTTGTCAATTACTATGGCGATCTCAGGTCAAAGGAAACTCTTAAATCACATTCTTCAAGAGAATATCCTATTGACAGTTTATGATAATTCTAACCATTAGGAATTATGCAATGAGTCGGTTCAATGACCATATCTCTATATGCACCATCTATCTATGTGATTTAGCTAATGAGATCAACTAATCTTTATCCAATAAAGACGATCACATAAATATTAATCTAACCGGATTACTAATGTCCAAATTAATAATCCTATGATCAAGAACAAATTTAGATCAAATTATAAGAAACTTTTCTCTCATTATCATGATCTCCATCACGATGACAAGTCTCAAAATTTAATCAAGGACCTTATCAAATTAACCAAGCAATTAATAATAATAATAAAAGAATATCAAATGCCATATATATATTTTAAGTGAAATAACGTTCACAAAATATGTTCAAATTATCAAATATGAGACTGGATCTAGGGCATATCTACTATATCCCTAACAAAGTGTCACTTGAGTATATCTTAATCTTTTATTCTATAATAGTTCTCGCAATTCTTTGATATTTCTGGTACAAGATACAAACTAAATATGATGGAAATGGACCACGGAATATCCACTAACCAAAAAATTCTCATGCGTTAAGTTTCAAACTTTGCATTATATTACAGCACCGTCCAAATCTTTTCTGATACAAGAAACTTCCTATCATTCTATGCGTTATTTCCTTTTCTTTAACTTTATTTGCTTTCTTTTCATTTGTCTTATATGTTTCCTCTTTTTGATTCAAAGAAGTCCTTAAGGCTACAGCTTGACAGGTAAAAAGGTAATCCATGCCATAATTGGAGAATTTTAGGCGTTTGTTTGAAAATAGGATTTTGAGTCTCTTTTTGCAAACTCTGTTTGTTTGAGCTATTTTTGTATGATTCAAAATCATTTTTTCAAATCTTTTGAAAACTCAACAAAATGAGTTTGGAAATTTCAAAAAATAAATAAATTTTTTCTAACGAAAACAGCTAAAACAAACAGAATTTGGAAAATTAATTATTTGGTGCCTGCGTATATAAGTAAAAAAAAATAGAGAACTTTTTTGGAGGAGAGTTGATAGTTGAAGTATTATCACTTCACCTCTTAACTTGAAGTTTCTTGGTTGAATTCTGTTAATTTTCTGAGATCATTGAATACACGAACATTTTCTTTGAGCATATACAAATACATTTTTATTTCTTTGCTTCTGTGTTGACAAATGTAAAATTAATTACATGATGTAAAAACACACATAAGAAAGAGGTGAAAAAGTTACATATATTCCTTTTACCACACCAACAAGAGCATTAGTATTCAGTGAAACTCTGTGTGAAATTTCATCTAAGCATTAAGTTAAAGAATAAAATTGATGAAAAGAATGGGAACAAAGGTACATAAAGCTATCTGATTTATACAGGAATTCCAACTACAGGCCTTGAGAGAAAGGAACATTTGTAAATGGCAACCAAGTATCTCCCATAGTAAAATTATAGACAGTAAAGTTCATTGCTTGTGTAGCATTCATTAAGTTATAACCAGGCCATTGTACTCTTGTTGTTGTATTAGCCCCTGGTCCATAATTCTCAAACTCCCCATAGTAAAGGGTGTCGAGTCCATTCGTTCCATTCCACTCTAACCATCCAACAGGCGCGATCACATCTCCTATATAAGACTGCATGATAACAGTCCTAGAGTAATTGTGCCATGGCCGTCCAAGAAAACTCAATGTGAGATTCATCTCCTGAGCCAAATCCGGGGCAGCTTGAATGGTGCAGTTCTGGATAGAAATGCCAGTGTTCTGGTTGGGATCACTTCGGCCTTGTGCTGTGAAGATATTCTTCTGGTCTGGCATTGGTTTCCTAGCAAACATATTGCAGTTTTGGAATATTGCAGCTGCATTGCCAAAGATGAAGTCAACTGTACCATAGATATCACATTCTCTGTAGAATTGTCTTAAAGAGTGCGTGTACAAAGTATCTTGATAGCCCTCAAAACGACATCTGTAGAATGTGGAAAGGTCCGCATTGTTCCTTAGAGCTACAGCTTGGTGCTTCCAAGGACCAGCTAGGTTCTTGAATGTTATGTTTATGGCTACAAACCGCTCCCCTGACACGGCTGCACACGAAAAAAGCTTTCATACCTATAGCTTACCCTTTGCAAAAAATATAGTGTTAATACTTAAAACATGAAGTTTGAAAAGAAGTTGTCCATTTATAGAAGGCCTACAACCAAGAAAGAGATAAATGAGCAAGGGGTAGATTTTTCAAGTGGTGTGACTTATTATAGCAAGCACTTCATCCAATTTCTAACAAACACTTCATCCATTTGCTATTGGAGGGTGCATGTAGGAACTTCTCATTTTCATTTTTTAAATCCAACGGCGCCTAATAAGAGACAAACCCAGGATTTGAAGTTTATGGATCCTGAACCTGCTACCGAACTCGTAAGTGGTTTAGTTATTGGGTTCACAATGCGCATATTTATACATATTTAATGAATTTTCTAATATAAAACAGCATCTAAGCAAACGCTACTGCGTTCGTGCGAATCCACAATCGATACATTACCTCTGCCCCTGCGCATAATGACCCAGACGAAACAGGTATATTGAAGGAAACCTTAATATGACATTCTGTAGCCTGAAAACATGGAACTACTAGAATCAAGTAATTACTACTAGCAAATTTATCCATCATGTCAAAAGGAATGGAAGGCATAGTTTACTTACCAAAGGTTGCTGAATTATAGGTTGTCCAGCCATCTATGACACTTCGATTACCAGCAATCACAGTGAGATCAACTCCTTCTCCAATCAACATAATATTTTTCTTGTTCTTGGCCACGACAACATACTCCTCGTAGTATCCTTGCTTCGCGTATATGAGAAAATATCCATCTTCAATCTTTGAGTTATTAGGCGCAAATGCAATGGCTTCTCCTATTGATGTAAAGTTGCAGCCACCATAAGGACTAACTGTTACTGTTTGATTAATGTGAACGCCATTTTCTACCAACTCGTCAAGAATCCTTCCACCTCTTTGATAAGACCTCTCCGATGCTTGTTTAACCTGTTTTTAAGTGTGTAAATTTTCTTGGAATTTTTGTTTAAACAGATTCGTGCTAAATATGAAAAGTCAAAAAGGTAGATGAAAGATATGTACATATATGATCTGTCACAATTTATAGTACCATTAATATAACCTCAATTTCTTTGAGTAGCTATTTTGATCTCTTATGACTACCTTGGTAATTCATTGAAGTTTAAGCCCCAAAACACCATAACTTTGTATTACTAGCACTAATAATGATAGGCTGATCTAACCTATTTACGACACCTTTCTTACATCATTATCTTTAATTTTTCTTATAGGAATAATTATTTGACATGCAAAATAATTCCTGTTTCAAAAAATTGTGCACATAGAAGAACTTGTTTATCCATAAGAATAAAGCTCAAGAAGAATTTATGACCTCCTATCCTTTTCTTTAACCCTTCAAATAAACAGGCCCAAAAATTCAAAGGAACGAGTCAAGGAGCTTAGATCTCAAAAGGACATGTGCCATGTGATACTAATATTGCTAGTAAATGAGACAATAATTATAGCAAAGTTTTCCCAGTTATTTGTTTGAAAGGACCATAATTTTGAAGATGCAGACAATCCTTATAGTTCATGGGAGTTTGTTTCACTCCCC